CTGTTGGAATGAACCTGTAGAACCAGTCTGAAAGGATGAAGACTAGAACCAGTCTGAAAGGATGACTAAAACTCCGACAGGTGGTTCATGTTGCTGCTCAGCCCGGGACTCCACTACAGAACCTTCCTGAGGTACAAACAGTGTTGACATGTTTGGTTATATATACATATATATATATATACACAGAAACCTGTTGGAACAGAAGAATCCAACAGTTTTTTGTTAATGTTTTGGCTAAATTTGGACTAAACTTTATGGCCATGTGTTTTTATGTTTGTGGGTAAAAACTGGCTCTGAACTCAACAGTCAAAGCTGCCTTTCAGTTGCCCTGAGGGATTAGAACCCATGTCTTCCTGACTGCACTGCAGCACCTGCAGGTCTATCGTCTTGCCATTTGGTTACATAGGGTATTTAAAATGAATGGAGACCATCTACATCTGGCACAGGGTGCACCCTGCCAATGGGGTTTTGGAGCACACCCAGTAAAAGTAGCTAACCAGTACCACAGTGTCACAATACTCCATTACAAATAATGGTCCTGCATTAAAAATCCTACTTAAAAGTTGTCACATGTAATAGTTTTAACTCAATAAGAAATGTACAGTCACTGGCCACTTTTTTAGGTACACTTGTAAAATTGTATGTAATTTAATCAGAATCTGTTTTATTGGCCAGGTGTGTTGGACACATATAAAATCAGCTTTACATAGATTTATTTTCTTCTGGTTAAATGCAGAGTTATTACAGCGCTGGGCTCTATGAGACGACAAGTCTCCAAGAGCTTCGATAATCAAAAATCATTCACATTTATCTTCTCGGGCTGGGACTGCCCTGTACACGGGTGGTATGTTACACGTAAATATTCTAGTATGTTCATATAGGCAGTGTGTGTGTGTGTTGTTATTTTCAGGCGTTTCTCTCCAACTGAAAGTGGACATGCAGTTAGCTGTGTCACTTACTTCCCTGATTCTGTTGTAAAAAAAAAAAAAACAACCCCTTACTCATGCTTCAGACATGAGTGACCAGTTCAAGCCCGTCAGACTTCACATCTGTTAAGTAGCATAAATTAACAGTATCTTATCTATAGTTTCCAGAACGACACTTATCTATGCAATCTATTCTTGCACAATTTTCCAAGAAGATGAAAAATACTACAAGTTGACTCAAAGCTGAATATTATAACT